GAGAGAGAGAGAGAGAGAGAGAGAGAGAGAGAGAGAGAGAGAGAGAGGGAGATTCATCCTATAAGCTCTGTTCCTAAAGAACCCTGACATATACAACAGATGTAAAGTTTCAGTTCTCAAGCTAGAAACATTACAGAGATTGGTTTCATAATAATATATGCAACACTACTTAACTGTACACCAAGACTGCTAAAATGGAGTAGTTGACCTATGTTTTATCAAGATTAAAAAAGTTTAAGATGTTTTAAAGCTTCAAAGTAGGCAGGTTGTCCCCATTGGAGGTGGTTCCTGATTCAAGCATAGAGGTACAGGCTCATCAGGGGCATGCAGCTGCCCCTCTGTCCTGAGCCTCTTACCACCTTACCTAGTAGAAAGTATTCTTTCTAGTCTGTCTGTGGAGAGTGAGAGACAGACAGACTGTTTTGGGTTGTCCTACAGTTAAAGAAAAAGGTCACATGCTAAACTATCCCCATATGATGTCCAAATGAAGAGAAAGGTAAGTATTGGGGGTTTTCTACAGTCAGCTTTATTTATGCAGAGCTGATGTTTACAGCTTTAAATTGTACCTGGAAAACTTCAACAAAGCACTGGGGACCTTCTAAATATATGTCAGTTTATGATTAGGGTACTCATCTTCTGAATTTATAGGAATCCAAAATGTTTCAATATGAATAAGACAGTTTAAGAAAGTTTTGCCATATGACAAGGGAAACAAAATTATAACAGCTACAGCTACCATCTACTGAATTCTTAGCTTCTTTTGACATAGACAAATTGATAAATAAGTGACTATCAAAAGGACCTATGAGTGGTCACCGCTGCTCGCCTGAGCCTAGCGACACTCCACAGGGGTTCACGTCTCCTCTTCTGATCCTTAGCCAGCATTGGCCATCAGCTATCGTCCAAGCAGGTCCAGAATGAATACGAAAAGGCTGATGATGTCCACATAGATGTTCAGAGCAGCAAAAATGTATTCTTCGGGGTCTATCTCATAATGGTAGTGGCCCCCCACCATCAACTGCACGTCCATCACCAGGTACTTGAAGAAAAAGAACAATCATCTCTATAGATTGTATGCATCTACCATGTAAGTGTCTTAAGTGATTTGGGGACAGCTGTTTTATCATTAAGAAAAATGGAGCGGGCTGGAGATATAAGTGGGTTGGTAGGGTACTTATATGCCACACAAAGCCCTGGGTTTCATCCCAGGACCACACAAATGGTGTGGTGATACATGCCCGCAATTCTAGCAGTCTGGAGATGGAGATGGGAAGGTCAGAGGTCAAGATCATCATCAACTACATAAGTTCTTGGCTGCCCTGGGGTAAGGGAGAGAGGAAAGGGGGATGTAGAGAGAGAGAAGTGAAAAGATGCAGGCGGTCAGTTGCAGCTGAGTACAATTAGAGCTTCAGTCTTTGAAGAGGTCATCCTAGTTTGCTCCCCATGAGCAAAAGTATCTCATCCTGAAGCCCACAGAAACAACTCTGCAAGTGTCCTTTGCTCTCCAAGTCATTAGCCTTTCAATTTCTCAGTATGTTCAGAAATTTTTATGATGAAAAAATATTGGGGGGGGGCTGGCATGTGGCACACACCCTTAATCCGGGCACTCAGGCAAAAGCAGATAGATTTCTGAGTTTGAGGCTAAACTGGTCTGCACAGAAAGTTCCTGGCCAGTCTTGGCGTACAGTTAAGTAGTGTTGTAGACAAGACAAGTTCTTGTTCTTGTCTACAGAGCAAGACCTTTTCTTTCTTTTGTTTTTTTTTTTCCTTCGAAGCCTGAGACACCTCAGTGGGTACCAGGACTTGCTGCCAAAGCACGAAGACATAAGATCAAATCCTCAGAAGCAATGTAAACAAACAACAAACCAGCCAAACAAAATCCAAGCATGGCCACGTGTGTCAAGGGCTGAGAGAAGGGAATCACTGGAGCTGACTGGCCATAAACCCAGGTCCAGTTCAGGGAGAGACTCTGTCTCGAAGAAGTCAGGGGAGAGTAACCAAGGAGACACCTGACTTCTCCCGCTCCATGCACACAGGGCTCCTACACTCTGCTGGGGGTGCTTATCTCTGAGCAGTGGTGGCAAGAGGGAGTTCCCCCTTTCTTTTTGCAGTCCACTGTGTTGTTTGAATTTTAAAATTGCCATGTGTGTTATTTTTAAAACCTTACAATAGCCGGGCAGTGGTGGTGCACGCCTTTAGTCCCAGCACTTGGGAGGCAGAGGCAGGCGGATTTCTGAGTTCGAGGCCAGCCTGGTCTACAGAGTGAGTTCCAGGACAGCCAGGGCTACACAGAGAAACCCTGTCTCAAAAAACAAAAACAAAAAACAAAAAAAAAACAAAAACAAACAAACAAACAAAAAAAACTTACAATAACTGCAAAGATGGGACAGCAAGACATGGGACTAAACGGAAAGAAAGGGATTCCCAGAGGCATCCGCAGGGGCCTTTGCCAGCCCTCTCTAGAGTTCCTGGTATGAAAAATGAGAAGGTGGGTGCTCTAAGCAAATGAAGTCACGCTTTGTGGTGATGAGCTTTGAGGCATTTCCACCATCTCTGAAGGTGATCTTTTCCTGTTGCTGTTATTACCCTTTGTGCTTATGTGCTGTTGGGGCCCAAACTCAAGGTCCTTTACATGCTGGGAAAAAAGCAGCCTCCGCCCCAGAACGTGATGCTTTCATAAATCAGAAAGGGCACGCAGCTCTGCTGGGTGAGTTGTTGGGGTGTTTCTAGAGAACATCTAACTCCACTGAGCAGCATAGGCCCTGTGAGCATGTATACACCATGATCTTCGGCACAGAGGTAAACCAGAACTTACCCCAGAGAAGAGCAGTGTTCCAAGGGCTGCGTATATCAGATGCAACCACTGCACAGAAAGAAAGGGGTACAGCTTCACACACTGTGGAATGCTGGAAGTGCTTAGTGAGTCACCACCCTCTGATAAGGACCCATTACAGAGATAGTCAAGCCTGTAGGAACCGGCTCTTCCTGAACCAAATCAGCCCTGTCCACCACTTAATTCTGGTAAGCACTCAAAAGATGTACTGATATTCACAATTATCAAATGGATGCTTCGAATTCCCTGGGAGCAGGGCAAGCACAATCCATTACATCCAGTCCACTTTCCACCCCTTCTGCATAACTCTTCTAGAGAACCTGCCTTCCTCAGCAAGAGGGTTTCTAGAACCACAAGGATCACATGCTCCCTAGTTGGGGAGGGGAAAGGAAAGAGAGCAGAAACCATTCTGCAAGCAGTGAACCTAGCTCTTTTTCAAACCTGTGAAATTCCCAGGACCTTTGCCTAAGCCAGTCTTGACTGGGATTTCCCCCTGACCAGGAAATATGGGGCATATTTGAATACCCAGTGTCTGGCTCACATGAGAAGAGGGTAGAGTAACACATAACACCCAAGACAAATATTGCATGGTGTCTCAAGAAAGAGTCAGCTGCTTCCAATGAGGATGGCCAAACTCCCCAGAAGAGGTTATCAGTGAAGAGGGCAGAGAATGAATCCTAGCATTGTCTTGGGAGCACAGCAGTTTTAGAGCACCAAAGGGAGGCAGGACACTTGAAACACAGGATTCAAAGTTGCTAATGTTGTGTGTGTGTGGACTTGGGACAAGAATCTTCTGTTCATGCATGTGTCAGACAGTAGCTTGGAGATGCCTGTGAGAGCAAACTGAGACTGGAAATGAGATCTATCTATCTTATAGGAGACATAGTCTCCTCAAGTTAGGGATGGTTCAAAGGCTTATGGGACTCATGGAGTCACTGTGGAGAGTTAATGCACAACCTTATACCAGGTGGGCTAGCAAACACTGTAATCCTAGCACTTGGGAGGCTGAAGAAGGACGATCTCTATGAGTTCGAGAACAGCCTGGTCTAGACAGTGAGTTACATGCCATCCAGGGCTACATAGTGTGACTATCTCTGTGATGTCTTAAAGTTTTTTCAAAATGTAGATACCACCTCCCTGGCTATAACAAACAATGCTTATTCATCCAACCAAATGAACCCAGACAGAACTCCTAGTCACGAGTCTAAAGATGGTGTAAAAACTCCACTTGCTTCTAAATAAATGCTTTGGTTCAGCATTTGAACAAGTTGGCCTCGGAACTTTAGTCAAACAGTTCCGGGTCCTAGGCACGGTTTCCATATCCAGCATTCATGGACACCATAGGATTCACACACACACACACACACACACACACACACACACACACATTTCTGCTCCAGAGACAGACTTCACAAAGCAATGGAGATGTAGACCCCGCCTAAAAGTCTCCCAAACCTGATCTCCCTGCTACCTCTACCCCTTACTCCTTGGGGACCCTGGATGAATTAAAGTCTTCTGAGCCTATTCGATCATCTATAACATAAATAAGAAATATTGTCCAGGAATGTTGTGAGTGCTGAATGGGAGAGCTCAGTGAAAAACATCCACAGGGTCTATGTCCGATACTTAGTAAGACCTCAGGGAATACATACTGAAGAGCAAGCTGGGCGGACACTAAGCCACTCTCTGTGAGTCAATATTGGAACCTTTAGCTAAAGAAGCCTTTCTCCTACTTTGGCTTGAGAAAAGCAGCACCTGGGTGCAGAAGACATTGTCTACCATAGAGGATATGGTATCCACAAGACCCTGTTGGGAAAGGACAACTACTAGGTTCCTGTCTATGGCATTTCTCCGCTAAATCCGTGTTCGACACATCTTCAGATAACAGGGCAGGAATGCAATATTCCTTGCTCAGCTGCTGGACTATACACACCACTGCTGTTTGTCTTTGATCTCTAGGACATTTTTCTAAAAGCTGGGCATGTAGCTCAGAGGTAAGAGCACTTGCCTGATGACTCAAGGCCTTGAATTCAATCCCCATCACCACAGATAATGATAAAAATAATAATAAAATCTGTACATGCTTAGCCCCAACACCATGGCTGCTTCTCAAGGGACCTGTGCTGACAAAGCCAGCACTTCCCTCACTTTGAGTACTTTGTAAAGGTTTCAAAATGGCAGTCACTTACGTATGATCGAATCACAAGTGCAATAATCCCGTAGATCAGTAGCACAGCGGAGAAAGCAAACAGCACTCCACTCAGCAGGGTAAAATCCCACTGGGGAGACATAAACAGCACCCCATTATCATCTAGGCAGGATCTCAAATGTTTAGTGATGCCTTTTCTACCCCACACACATTTATCTTGGCCATTTCTTAAGATGGAAATGCCTTAGCCCGAGCACTGAAAATCACCCCATAAATGATACAACTGTCACAGCCCCTTAGATTTGCTTCAGGAAGGAGGATGAGACGGTGGGAGTTAAGATAAAATAATGAGAGCCAGGGGATGATAATTTTTTAAACTATGTGAAGGAACATGAGAACCCATTATATTTATTCTATTTTTGTATGTATAAGAATTTCTCCCTTAAAGCCAGAGGTGGCACAAATTTGTATTCCTAGCACTGGGGGAGGAGGAGGCAGGAAGATCAGAAGTTTAGGGTCAAGCTTCACTGTGTAACAAGTCCAAGACCAGTCTAGAATACTCGAATGTCTGCTTTGAAAGAAAGGAAAAGAGGAAGGAAAAAGGAAAGAAAGGAAGAAAAAAGGAAAGAAAGGAAGAAAGGAAGAAAGGAAGAAAGGAAGAAAGAAAGAAAGAAAGAAAGAGAGAGAGAGAGAGAGAGAGAGAGGGAGGGAGGGAGGGAGGGAGGGAGGGAGGAAGGAAGGAAGGAAAGAAGGAAGAAAGATTGGTTTCCTCTAGTAAAAACACAAATTGTATAGTGCATAAATTTATGTGTATAATATGATCATAACTATTCATATTTAAAGAACACATATATTTAGAAAACATTAGGAAACTGAAGTAAGTTATTTCATTATATTAACTGGATCTCTTTTACAAATTTGTATATACATATTTTCAGAAAATACAGTAGATTTTCAAAATTACTGTAAATGTAAAAATTATTATTTTGTAATTTTTGCATTTATTAATGTGAATCTGGGTTTTTCTTTTAAAGATTAATGACTGAGGTAATTGGGGGCTTTTTTGTTTTGTTTTTCTTAAACAGGATAAAAAAAATTCCAAACACTGAAAACACACACAATACTTTCTCGCACTTTCCCTTGTTCTCAGCACACACAGGATTGGTTCTCCAGGTGCTCTTTCCTGCAGCTGCCCCTTTAGGACTCAGGAGGAATCTGTCAGCTTTGGACAAACTCTGAGTCTGATTCACATCTGGGCTAGACTCTCGGCTTCAGAGACCAACAGGACACACTCAGAAAGCACAAAGAGTGGGAAACCATCGTCCAGAACAGAATGGCTAATGGCCTCTCTGCTATTCTTTGGCTATGGTCAAAACTCACCAAAGCCATGCATGCACTCCTTCCGGACTCTGAGAGTAGAAGACAAGCAGGACTCAGGAGGCCAAGCATCTTGAATCTACAAGACACTGTCACTCCTCCCAAAGGAGCTGATTTGAAAATGGGATCTGATTATATTTAATTTTCTCCTCTAAGGGACAGTTTAGGGTCCATGAGGAAACTCAGCATCAGTGGGTGAGGTACAATTTCTCTGGAGTCCTTGGGAGCCTTGTAGAGGGAGAGAATTATGTAAATGCCCACCATAGAACTTCAGCAGAAAAAAAACAAAAGGTTTAGTTGAACGTAAGTTCAGCTGCCTCTCTTTAATGCTAACACATCTGGAATCCTCTGTAAGCTGCATTTTAGCAGAATGCTTCGTTCTCTAAACTCAAGCCATTCCTCATCTGTGAGGGACTTAAATACTTGTGGGGCTTTGGGGAAATATCCTGACATTTAGAGGTGTTGAATGGCCCTGAATCTATGCCTATGTTGGTAGCTCACCTCACACACTGAAGAGAGGCTGTGATAATAATAATTTTTACACACAGGCTGGCTTCTTACAAGAACCATGCTTGAGATGGCAAACACGGATCTGACTCTAAATTATGTCGAAGCTCTACTTTGGGGGACACGGCAGGGGGACGTGTGCGTATGCGGGGGGGGGGGGTTGGGGGTATGCATGTGTGTGCATGCATGCATGCGTGTGTGGGGGCCACGGGTACACTTCAGACCTCCACTAGGACCTAGAACTCAGAAAACAGGCTGAGGTAACTGGCCAGAGACCCCAGGGATCCAGTGTCTACTCTCTCAGAGCTGTTATTACAAACCCATGCCACCACACTACAATCTTTACATGGATGCTGGAGATCAAACTTGGGTCATCATGCCTACACGGCCATCACTTTCTGACTGAGGGGCTCCCCAGTCCCTGAACCATCACTTTTGACACAACTTGACTGAGTGTTTTAACAGATTCCTCTACCTCTCTGGACCTTCCCTTTACCTCCCTTTTCTACTAACAAACTAAAATTCTGTTTGTGTATAAAGTCTTTATGAGGTGTGCCACACAATTGAGCAAATACTCCTCTTTAGTTATTAAACTGTCTAAGGAGAGCCCATCATTTACTAAAAGCAAGGTGACCACAAATGAAAGAGCCACTGGAAAGAGCCCACTAAGTCCCCACAAGTGTACTAGGGCTGCTAAGACTGACATCCTGGTTTAAAAACAAAGGTCATCAGTTGGGGTATGGTTTTGTGGAGTCATTGGTTAGGGTATGGTTTTATGGAGTACTTGCCTGGGTCAATTCCACCAAAATAAAAGAACAGTTAATGAATTATACTGGGGATTGGGAGTGATTCTGAGACCTAGTAACTGTGAAGATAAGCTGCCAGTTTGAACCAGGGCCCCAGCCGGGAACACAGGGCACACTTGAGAGCATGGCTTGAGGAGGAGGCTTGTTTGTTTGTGAAGGAACCCCCTCCAGAAGTAGGCTGAAAGGGACTAGGTGAGCAGCTGTGACTGTCTGTAGGGCCCAAGGGACAAGGACACAGGAAACCTCAAAGTTTGGCTGTGTTAAGCTGCTCTGTGTTACAACAAGCTGGGAGTGGATTTTCGTAGGGAATGTTGTTAGCCCAAGGGGAAACTATCAGGAGGAACCTGTGGGAATAAGGGCCTCTCTCCTCTGAATGAGAAGGGGGAACACAGGACACAGCCAGCAACTTCGGCCTGCACCTTGGAGATTTGTTGCAGTAATACGTACTTTTGTTTGTAGTGCAAACAAAGTGAGCACTAGTGTCACCACAGTGGTGGCTCCTGTGGCCCAGAGTATCTCATCCGCTCTGTAGACGCTGGAACCAGAGACTGTGGTTACTGCTCAGACACTTTCAAAGAAAAGCGCACACGATAAAGCAAAACTACATACCAAAGACTTACATTGACATGGTTCCTAGCAGCAGGCCCTCCAGAATGGTCTAAAAACAAAATTTACAGTAAGTCAGCAACCTGTTTCTCCAACCAAAGCATGAGGCAGAGTCCTAGGCTTCAGAAGAGGTCAGTCAGGTGTGCATTTGGGCAACATCTAGGGACCAAGCAGGGATGTGAAGACAACCCTGGGAGCACAGCTACAGGGCGCTTATGGGAGACAACTGGTCCAATAACCATTCACTGCCACATAACTGTCACACTCTCCCTAGGACTGATGGAAGAGAAGAAAGTGCTTCTGAGAACACTGAAGTTTCATGTATCTGGTGCATAAACTATGTACTAATTGTGGATGCGGAAACTGAGGTAGAAGGTCCATTTGTGGACCACGTCCTCATTAGTCGGATGGGACCATCTACACATCTGCACACTTCATCAGGACATCATTGGCTGTTTCCTTGTGTGGTCCCTGCTAAACATAAAATGTTTCTTCAGGCCTCAGACCTGGGATGAGAACTGAGACCTCAATGCCAGTATATGGGACTGCAGGGCAGTTCTTAGCAGAGGTGACAGCATGGGACCGGTGCCCTGAAGGATTCCCTCCACCCACATGGAACCAGGCTGTGGGCAGTGTGGGAAAGGTGGGATCCGAGATCCATCAGGCAAGGGTGTCTGAGGGTCAGACTAAGTAACTGTCAGACTCACAGCCAGGCTCAGGACCACGACCAGCAAGCAGCCATGGGACTGAAGAGGTTTGTCTGCCCACAGGACACTGGGGAATTTGGTCCTTGGTAAGGACCAGGGAAGTCCTCTACTCTCATCAAAGATCGAAAAAGACAGCATATCCTAATGAAAGTGCTGACACCAGACTGGCTTTTGACTTTCTCAGTCCTTAAGAGGCTGGAAAAGAACTGAAGCCCAAATGTCCTCTGTCCTATTCTGGATTTCCCAGACCTGGACTGAGACTTTGTTGCCTCAGGCTGTTTGTTAATGTACCTAAGAAAACAGTCCTTATGTCCACCAGAAGACAAGATTTAGTCTTTATGCAAATGGTACTTCAATGCTGGGTTCCAACCTTCCACCTGTGTTTTTCACTTTTCTCTGGTGCCTTCTACTTCTCCAGAACCATCAGAGATGGGCAGACGGGCAGGCAGGCAGACAGACAGAGACAGAGAAACAGAAAGACAAGGAGACACGGAAACAGGGAGACAGACAGAGGTAGGGAGGCAGACACGGAGACATAAGACAGGCAGGAAGAGGAAGAAGAACAGCTCTCAGCAGGGAATCATGTAGAAACCAAGCATGCTCAGAACTAGGACTTGGGGTGTCATAGATTCTAGGGGACAAAAGCTGTTTGTGGCAAGAGTGAGTAATGTAAAAGAGAAGAATAAAGATTTAAAAAGAGAGAGAGAACATTCACACAGCCAGGTGGTGATGGTGCACACCTTTAATCCCAGTCCTCAGGAGGCAGAGGCAGGTGGGTCTCCAGGAGTCTGAGGCAATCTTGGTCTATACACCCAGTCTAGATCAGCCAGGGCTACCTAGTGAGAGAATAGTTCTCTGCCTCTGCCCCCTCCCTATCACCTCTGCTTCCAAGCTGTCTCCTGGAACTGGAAAACTAGGAAGTAATTGAGGCAGAAAAAGATTAAGAAAATGTCTTAAGAAGACAGCCGGGGACAAGGGCATTGTGAAAATACTACACAGTCTACAGCAGAGCACAGAGATTGTGGCGTCTTGCTTGCTTGCCTGGGCTTTGAGCTGGGGACCTACTGCAGCCAAGAAAGGTTCCTTGACCCTTGACGCTTGAAAGGAAATACCACTGTGGATGACAGACAGCCCCAGTCTATTTCTTTCAGCAGGTAAATTACAATAAACACTGCTTGGCACCCAAGCAGAGAGACTCACACCACTGGCCCTGCGGCTCTACTTGCTTTCAGCACCAGCAGATGCAGAATTCTATCGCAGGGGCCCGGTGCACTTTGCACACTAACCTAACGACTGCATTTGCCTCCCCGCTCTAGTTTTCCTTCCATTTGATTTCCCTATCGATGTATTTATCGTCCCGTATTGCAGATATCAGTGTGAGCTACCTCCAACATGATTTGGAACTAGCTCTAGTGAGTCAGTCATCACAGGAAAGAATGGTCAGCATTGCACAAAGGAAACACAAACTCAAAGGTAGACACCATCCTTAGACACACATGGCCAGTGCTAGGCTGTCCCCGGAGCATCAGCACACCTTAAGTAGTTGCTACCAGCCAACTACGGACACACCAAGCCTTTGGGAGTTAGGGGGTTCAGCCTGAGAGTTGGAGGGTGATTCTTAGGTGCTGCTAAGTCTCTCGTGATGAGCCCCCAGCTTTTTGGGGTGTTGAACATGGATTGGTGGGCATGAAATCTCAGAGATCCTGAGTGTATTCAGGTTTGGGGGTTCAGATATTTGTTTCTGGGGTCCACATGAATTGGTTGTTAAAAAGAGTGGTCACACAGTTTGGTGTGGCTAGCACAGCTTTGATGACAGAAAAGTGTGAACTGATGAGCCCTTATGTGTGAGGACATGTGGATAGCTAAGGGACAGTACCACAGCCCCAGCTCTGGCGGAGGGAAAGACCCCTGTACCGGAGAAGAACGGCATACAACTCGGGGAGAATCTAGACTCAGGATGACTTCTGCTTCCATGACAGACTTGCAGCAAAACATCTTACAAAACAAAGAAAATTAAATTTCTTTTTCATGGGCTTGTTCAGTTTCAAGTGGAAGGCACTCTTTAATGAGATATGTGTTACTCCTGACAGAGGACTGATAGCCCCCAGGCTAACTGCAGACTTAGGTGTGGGTTCTTGTATGGCTTTGAGAGAGGCGAGTTGGCCACAGCAAAGAGTGGCCTGGAATCCATGTCCGCAGGGGGTGAGGACGCCATCTCTGTGTCCTCGTGAGTTGCTGCTTCTGTACAAGTGCCCCCTGCCTGTCTTCCTGCGCCATAGAGAAGATATCGATGCAATAAGACGACCAAAGCGTCAGAGGGAGGCCAGGGCACCTGCCGAGGAGATTTACTTACAAAGAGTGCCAGGAGAATGTAGTTCGCGGGCACTTGGCGCCGGAGATCCCTGCAGCAAGCAAGTATAATGATCACAATCAGGACTGCCGGGCTGAGGGTGGGAAAGCTTCAGTTACTGCTCCGTACTCGAGCGGGCGAGTCGTGTGTACCGACACGGCAGACAGGCAGAGGGACACACACGCAAGCATATCATCACAGGCCCACATCTGATACATAGAGCAAACCAAACCGCTCTCTCCTACTTACCTCTCTCTCTCTTAGGCCTGCAAAATGAGCTTTTTAACGTTCCCATCCACAGATAGAACGCTCCCCTTTTAGATTTTTTTTTTTTTGGTTAAAAATACAGATTCGTGGGAAATTGTAAAAGGACCGAGAAGTTCGATAAAAGCTGTATGAAATTTTTACCTATGATTTTGATTTATATATGTACAACACAAGTTCAAAACCAGTAATGGGACACTGGTAGAATTTGAACCTGTGTTTATTATTATTATTGTTATTATTTAAAATGGGGATGTGACATGAGTCTATGTGTAAATACATATAACTACCACTTCAGTTAACATTCAGGACCATCTTTCCAATAACACATCAACAAAAATCTGCCTGGTATGACTCTTCTGTGACAACACCCCTACACACAGCTATCCCTGACTTCTGGCCCCGATTAGCTTTCCATCTCTAATTGTGTCATTTAAAGATTTTTGTGAAGATATTGAAGAGATGGATCAGAGATTTAGTGCACTGGCCTGTTAGTTCCCGGCACCCATATGACAGCTCGCAAACACCCCCGTAACTCCAGATCTAGGAGATGCAAAATTCTCTGTCGCCCTCTGTGGACACCTATGTAACATGATGCACACACAAACAAGGAGGCACATACACATAAAGAAAATCAAGTAAGGAGGCCAGGGCAATGGCTGCAAGGTTAAGATCGCTGGCTGCTCTTCCAGAGGATCCGGGTTTACTTCCATTCATTTACCTTGGTTCCAGGGAGATCTGACGTCCTTTTTTGGCCTATGTGGGCACAGTATATACATGGTGCATGGATATACTCATAACACATAAAATAAAACAAGTCTTTAAAATAGAAAGGAAAACAAATAAAATATAAGAGTTTTATGTTTAACCCTGGTTGTTTTGTATGTTTTGTTGTTATTGTTGTTGTTAGTTTGTGTGGTTATTTTGAAACAGGGTCTTACAAAATCAAAGCTGGCCTTGAATTCCTGAGTACCCTGTCTCTACCTCCTAAGTGTTGGACTTACAGACATAGGTCATCATACCCAACAAGAATGTTACAATTTACCACATTTTCAATAGTGACAAAATCTCAGTCAATAGTGAATCATTCATGATACTTACAAGAGTGCAAACAGGAACCAGGGCATGGCAAGGATCCACTTTCTTACAGCTTTGCTGGTTTTAAAGAACAAAGTTTTACATAAGATAGTAAACTTTACTAGCTGGAATAGAAGTGTAACAGTATCATGGGAAACCTGGGTAAACTAAATGATCAAAATGGAGAGGAAGGGTCAAAACACTCTTTTGAATGGAAACACAGGCTGCTAGTGCAGGTCCCTGTTCGAGCATCTGCCCGGCATATGTGAATGAGGCCTGAGCTTAAATCCCCAGCACAAAGAAAAAGGAGATACATTGTAAACATTAATTTTTAAATTATACATCAAATTTAAAAGGAGACACCTGGTGAAGACCTTTTAGAAAACGCGGCACATAGCTTTAATCCCCGAAGCGTCAGAGGTGTGTGGATGTCTGTAAGCTTAAGGCCAGCCTGATCTACATGGTGAGGGAAAGCTGGAGATAGCCAGAATAACCAGAGCTACATGGTGAAACCTCTCTCAAAAACCAAACCAAACAAACAAAACAAAAACAGAAAAAAAAACTAAACAAAATAAATAAACAAAACATTGAGACTGATATACCTGTAAGCTCAAAGAAATCAGTCAAATAGCATTTTCAACAGGATGAGCATGGCGACTGATGAAAACTCTCAAATAATTAGAGAATTTAAAATTTAACAGTGCTCCAGCCTTCAGTGTCTCTAGGATCTCACCTATTCATCCAGTTCTAGTTGACAAAGTAGCTCACAGAAAATTAAAACAAAAACAGTGCCTCAAGTAAGAGGAAGAAAAACATTCTTAACTTGGACAGGTAAATTCTAGGAACCTCTTGCAATGTTAGCTAGAAGGCGCTTCAGAAGAACCTGCCTATTGGAAGACTACTGCTTACAGACGATGAAGAACGGAAACCGTACTGTTGGAAATACTCCAAATCCAAGCAAACTGATTCCGTGAGCATTCCCAAGAGAGACCCAACTTCTATTTCTAGACGGTAAGGAAGACCACTCACCAGAAAACAAAGATGCTGATGATCGCAGCAGTGATGAACAGCTGAATGGACAGAACCACAAACACTTTCACCATGAAACCTGTGGAGACAAGATGTTCCTTTGTGACCCAGTATCCAAAGGTAAAACCAAATGCAATTTCCTGTGAAAGAAATTCCCCATTGTCATTCCAGGCCAGGAGAGGCGGCTGCTGCGTTAGTCAGCAAATAGAACAACAAAAGTGAAATGACTCTGGAGAACTTTTTAACATGGGCTATTTAAAAACTCTGTGAGAAGCATTGGGGATATGAAGCCTGAAGAGGCTGCCTCCTGTAGCCAGGCAGGAAGCCAGGTGGAGCAATAGGAAAGCCACCCCACACACAAAACTTTAAACCGCGAATGTATCCTGTCTACAAGAAATGCAGGCATGGGAGATGGAGCAGAGACTGAGGGAATGGCCAACCAATAACTGGCCCAACTTGAGACCCGTCCCATGGGCAAGCGCCAATCTCTAATACTACTAGTGATACTCAGATATGCTTGCAGACAGGAGTCTAGCATGGCTGTCCTCTGAGAGGCTCCACCCAGCAGCTGATTCAGACAGATACAGACATCCACAGCCAAACACTTGGATGGAGCTTGGGGACTCTTATGGAAGAATAGGAGGAAGGATTGCGGGTCCCAAAGGAGATAGGAACTCCACAAGAAGAGACTCCAACAGAGTCAACTAATCTGGACCTTGGTGCTCTCAGAGACTGAACCATCAACCAAAGAACATATATGAGCTGGACCTAGGCCTCCTCACACATATGTAGCAGATGTGCAGCTTGGTCTTCATGTGGGTCCCAAACAACTGGAGCAGAGGCTATCCCAAAAGCTGCTGCCTGAATGTGGGTTATGTTCTTCTAGCTGGGCTGCCTTGTCTGGCCTCAGTGGGAGAGAAGTGCCTAGTCTTGAAGAGACTTGAAGTGTCAGGGTTGGGGAATACCCAGGGAGGCCCTACCCACTCAGGGGAGAAGGAGAGGGGAAGATGGGGGAAGGATTGTGTAGGGGTAACTGGGAGGGAGCAGTGAGCAGGATGTAAAGTGAATAAGTAAAAAAATTATTAATTAAAAAAAAGAATATGTAATTAAAGTCAACCAAGGTGGGGCACACTGATAATTCCCAGCTACTCAGAAGTGGAGAAATGCTTCAATTTAGGAGTTGGAGATCAAACAAAGCAACAAAGAAACACCTCCTGGTCATAAGAACAGACAAGACCAGATATAAGCACCTAGAATTACAATTTCATCCCAAACCTGGCCAAAAGCTTAGATGCCAGTGTAAAACCACAGTAACATCGAGGACAACATGTCTCCACTAGAGCCCAACAACTCTACCACAGAAGTTCCTATGTATTTCAAAATAGCTGAAACACAATAAAAAAGACCTTAATAAAACCAGAAAAACTTCCACCCACCACAAAAGAATATACATACTTCTCAGCATCTCATGAGCTTTTTCTAATACTGACCAACTACTGAGTCACAAAGAAGTCTCAAAAGATGTAAAAACACACGCTTCATCCTATCTGACCACTATGGATTATGGCTGAATATCAACAACAAAAAACATACAAACGCATAAAAGCTGACCTACTTATTTCATTACTAAATGAAAAGCAGGTCAAGGCATAAATGAAAAAAGAAGTTAATGACTTTCTACTGAATTTCTAAGAATTGAATGGTAACAGACACACAACATACCCAAACTTATGGGTCACAATGAAGGCTGGTCTAAGAGGCAAATTTATAGCACTGCATGCCTACATAAAATGTGGAGAGATCCATATTGGCATCTTAAAAGCACACCTGAAAGGACTACAACAGGAAGAAGAAAACATGCCTGAAAGGAATAGATGGCAAGAAATATTCAAACTCAGGACTGAAATCAATAAAATAAAAACAATAAAAACAACCAGTGAAACAAAGTGTTTGTTCTTTGAGAAATCAATAAGATTAACAAACCCTTATCCAAATAACTAAAGGCAGAGAGAGAAAGAGAGAGAGAGAGAGAGAGAGAGAGAGAGAGAGAGCGCCAAAAATAAAAATAGAAAAAAAAAAGTTGGAAAAAAAAAAGTAAAAAAAAAACTTAGCCGGGCAGTGGTGGCGCACGCCTTTAATCCCAGCACTTGGGAGGCAGAGGCAGGCGGATTTCTGAGTTCAAGGCCAGCCTGGTCTACAGAGTGAGTTCCAGGACAGCCAGGGCTACACAGAGAAACCCTGTCTCGAAAAACCAAAAAAAAAAAAAAAAAACCAGGAAATGAAAAGGTACATATAACAACATTGAGGAAGTCCAAAGAATCATAAGGACAAACTTTTAAAACCTGTTCACTACCAAGTCTAAAAGAAATGGATAATTTTCTGGATACATACCACTTACTATAGATAAATCAAGATCAGATAAGCTATTTAAATAGGCCTATAATCCCTACTGAAATAAATGCAGTCATTAAAAGTCTCCCAACCAATAAAATAAAGTAAAATAAACAGGTCGAGTGGTTTTAGCTCAAAGTTCTATCAGACTTTCAAAGACGAGCTTATGCCAATACTCCTCAAACTATTCCACAAAATAGAAACAGAAAGAACATTGCCCAGTTCATTTCATGATGTCACCGTTATCCTGATGCTCAAACCACATAAAAACCCAACAAAGAGAATTAGAGACCAATTTCTCTTATAAACACAGATGTGGAAATTCTCAATAAAATGCTTGCAACCTAATCTAAGACACATCAAAAAAGTCAGCCGCTTTGATCAAGTAAGCTTTATCCCAGAGATGTGGGGATGGTACAACATACATAAATAATTGTAGTCTACAATCTATACAAACTGAAAGACAAAAATCACCTGGTCATCTTGTTAGATACAGAAAAGGCCAACACCCCTTCATGATAAAAAATTCTGGAGAGACTAGAGAAATAGGAACATATCTCAACATAGTATTGGCAATTTACAGAAAGCTCATAGCCAACATCAACTTAAGTGGAGAGAAACTCAAAGCATATCCACAAAAATAAGGAACAAGACAATGTTGTCCGCACATTCACTATATAATTGAAGTCTTGCTAGAACAATTAAGGCAATTGAAAAAGATAAGGGGGATACAAATGGCAAAGAAAGAAGTCAAAGTGTCTTTATTTGAAAATATATGAAAATATAAAAAGTGACTCTAAAAATTCAACCAGAAACTCCTACAGCTGATAAAATATCTTCATTGAAGTACAAAATTAACTCACAAAAATCACTGGCTCTCCCATATACAAATGACAAATAGACTGAAAAATAAATCAGGGAAATAGCACCTTTTACGATAGCCTAAAATAGTATAAAAATATCTTGGGTAACTCCGAATAAGCAAATGAAAGATTTGTATGAAAAAAAAAAAAACTTCAAGAAATTGAAGAAAGAAATTGAAGAAGATATCAGAAGATGGAAAGATCTTCCATGTTCGTGAATCAGTAGGATTAGCATCGTAGAAATGGCCGTCCCACCAAAAGCAATCTACAGATCCAATGCAATCCCCATTAAAATGTCAACACATTTCTTCACAGATTTAAAAGGACATTTTCCAGCTTCATATGGAAACACACATACACACACGCACACACACAACCAGGATAGCTAAAACAATTTCAAATAACAAAAGAGAGATTTTTATTATTTTTATCAGGAGATCTCAGGATTCCTGATTTCAAGTTGTTCTATGGAGCTTTAGTAATAAAAGCAGTATAATATCAGCACAAATACAGAAACATTCATCAATAGAATCAAACTGAAGACCCAGACATAAATCCACACACCTATGGACACCGGATTTTTTTTTTTACAAAGAAGTCAGAAATACACAGTGGAATAAAGACAGCATCTTCAACAAAATGGTGCTGGTCAAACTGGATGGCTGCATGGAGAAGAATCCATATAGATCCTTTGGAAAGGAAAACATAATAGATAGTTATACATGGAAGGGGTATAGCTGAAATGGATGATCAAGTCAGGTGGGTAAAGAGGGATAAAGGAAGGAATATGGGGAGGGACAGGAGAATTTGAGAGTCATTTGGTAGGTAGCATGAAAACTTAATACATTAGAAGCTTCCTACACTATAAACATATATGAAGGCAAGCCAAAGGAAATTACCAAATACTGGTGGAGACAGAGACTCAATTGGCCATCTCTTGTGACCAAATGAAGCTTCCATTACCAAGATTGGATTAGAGTTAATTGAGTTGTTGGTCAAAGGGGTCTCATGAGAGACCTATGCTAAACAACCCAAGCTGATGCTAAGACGATTATAGATAGGTTCCTCTCCACACACTGACAAGTCCCATTGCTGAAGACAGCACCCTGACAGCTCTGTGAACATGGAGAAGTTGAGCTACATAGAATCTTCATCCCTACTTGGCTAGCATCTTTGGAACAGGAAGACACACTACCAAAAGAGACAGGAAAACACAAAGCCAGCCACAAACCCTTTGGTCCACAATGTTCTTCTGCCTGCAAGATATGTTAGTGCAGTGGTGGCACAAAGCATGTAGGGGCAACCAACCAATGTCCCATTTGACTTTAGGCCCACTTCACAAGGTGGAACCCATACCTGAGACTGCTTGTATGCCTAAGAGCCAGAGACTAGATAGCCCAAGGGCTCAAATTATAACCAAGTGCCACTGGTCTAAAAAAAATGTAGCAGTAAAATGCCTCCTAGTGACATTTTGCTGGACTCATTGATCTGTGCCTTGTGCAGCCATCATCAGAGAAGCTTCCTCCTGCAGCAGATGGGAACAAAGACAGGCAGACATTATGCAGAATGAGCAAGCTAGGAACACATAGCCATAAATGGGACATCTCTAATCCTTTCCCACAAGGTTCAGGGAATCCCTTGGAAGAGGAGGAAAGAGTGTAAGAGCCAGAGGGGACAGAGGGCACCAGGAAAATGAGGCCTTCTAAATCAACAAAGCAAGATGCATATGACCTTCTTTTTTTGGGGGGGGGGGGTTGAGACAGGGTTTCTTTGTGTAGCTCTGACTGTCCTGGAACTCACTCTGTAGACCAGGCTGGCCTCGAAC